CATCACATCTTCTGATTCTGTGCCTGCTTGCCCCATTGGATGTTTCCAGATGCACCTGCTAAAACACATTCCTGCCTGAACACTGCCTACCTTTGGGTACCACTCCCCCCTCTTGGCTTTCAGCTTTGTTCTACTTCGGTTCTCAAAATTTATAAACTTGGCCCAGAATATGATCAGAATGTAATGTCCTTTTTTTTTATCAATGAAGATATCTATTTAATATATTTTTTGTTTATCTTCCTCCCAAAACACTTCTACTGTATCTCCAAATCCTTCCTTTCTAAAAAAATAAAAATAAAAATAAATGAGGCAGCTAGAAATGGAGATAATATTGACAAAGGTCAATAATTTGGAATTACACCCAGCCTTGCTCTCCCCCTAACCGCCCTATTATACTCATGGTTCTGTATGGTTTTTAACTTTTTCTCCTAATTTTAATTTATTCTTTCCGAGTTTTAAGTGTTTCATCATAGTGGCTTGGATTTTTTCCAATCCCATGATTATCTCTCTATTAAAGCCTTAATACAAAAAGAAATAAAAAAAAAACAGACTGCTCATTACTTTGATTTGTAGCAAAGAGAGAATGGAACATTATCGCTAGAGTGTTTCGAGAAACCATATTTACATTTGCATCAGCTCAATTTAGGTGCCTGATTAGGTTGCGTGTTATGATGAAGGTGCACTTACCAGTCAGAGGGAAGTGGCGTGGTCTAGATAATGAGCAGGAGACTTCAAGTCAGGAGCCCTGAATGCTATTTCTGGCTGTGACTCTCTACCTCTCTGACCTTGAACAAATAAGTCCGTCTCATTGCCTTGGACCTAATAGCCTCCTATGCCTTATAGGGCTGCTATGAGAGGTGGATCACCTAAGTGTTTATTATGGAGTAGGAGCTATGGAGTGAAGCAAGGGAGGGGGGTTGAGGCTCACAAATGGAATTGGAGATGGGACCTCTGCTCTGATAGCTCCACTAGCCTGCTAAGAGACAGTGTCTGAGAAGTGGGCTGACTGCTCAGATGTTGGTCTGACAGGGCTTGAGGACATGATGAGAGGTTAGTTAGTGAAACTTAAAAGCTTGCCAAAATATTGGGTGAGATGATCAAACCATCCTGTTACTTAGGAAGGCTTAACAAGAGTGCATACTGTCTTTCTTCTCATAATGGTGCCTTCCTGAGGTGTCCCTGTCACACCTGGGACCAGGACTGGCAGTGACCAGCTTCTGTAGGACATCCTAAGGAAGGCCTGCTCAGCTGGCGATCCCTGACTTTAGGGGAAAGATCTTCCCCTGTGGTGACTCTAAAACATGCTTGAAACAAGCTAGTTCCCTCTGTTAAGCCTGCAAGACCAGGAAGAGTGTGCCCAGAGAAGATTCATGCATTCTTTGGTTGAGTTCCTCTCCCAGCAGAGAGGTAGTTGGAAGGGTGAAGGTTAATATGCTTTTAAAAAAATAAAGAAAAATAACAATATTTTCTTTCTTTCTGTTGGATGCTTAGACCTCAGCAGACATCACAAAGACAGCACCTGTGGCTCTCATCTTGTTACCATCTTGCATTGGCTACTATTTGTTGAGAACAACCTAATAATGATAGGTTGTATTGATTAAACACTGTTCTAAGTGCTTTACATCAACCAACACATTTAATTTTCACATTAATTTATTGGGTGAGATGTTATTAGTGTTTCACATTAATTTATCAGGACTATTTCTATCCTGATTTTACAAAGAAGGAAATTGGGGAGTAAAGATATTAAATAATTTTCTGAGCATTACACAGCTAGGAAGCCACAGCTGCAGGCTTAGAAAACAGGTCTGCTAGCTCCAGAACCTTCCCTCAGAAAGGTGAAAACAAACTTGAAATGGAGAGAGCAACAAACTCTGGGGCCTGTGGTTAGAAAGGTCAGAGCTATTCTAGAGCAACAAGTCATCTCCTGAAAGTGAGAGCACAGGCTGATATCCCAACAAGAATACGTGGGATCCAGAGACTAACATGAGAACCTTGCTGTGGGCTAGTTCTGACCTATTCACACAACTGCAAGGGGGTCTTTTTCCTGATGCGAGAGAGCTTCCTAGGATTCTGCACCAAGCATCCCACCTGTTGGAAAGCCTTATTCTTTGCCATTACAGTTCATCTCCTTTCTTCTATGGAAAGCACATGAGAATACCATTTGTTTTCTATGGACCAAAAGCTTTCTTAGAGAATTGAATGAATTCTGTTTGAGACTGAATATTGCACCATAATACATTTCTGATACTCTCTGTAAGCTTATTCTCCCTCTACCGTTCTGGATAAAGTGCCCTTCTGGTCATGTGGGTGACCGTCCATGTGTAATTTAACAATTTCTTGTGACCCTCTTTCGTCAGAGGAAGCAAGGTCATGAATTTGCCAAAGGGAGTTGCCACTAGAGACCAAAGGAGAAGGAGGATAAGAGGGAATTCCCACAGGAACAGGGAGGTGGATCACAATACAGACTCTAAAACAAGTCTCCCTGGAGCCACCACTTCGCTTGCTAACTAAATGCAAAACTCCCAGAATGCTCCCGGAGCAGCTGTGTGTGACCATTCTTTGGTCCCCCACCAAAGGGTCACATATCAGAATGCTGCATGTCTATCAGAATGAATGCTTACTGCCTCCCCAAGTACAGGTTCATGTGCAAGAACTGACCCCCGAGAAGCAGAATGGCGCCGTGTAAGAGCTTGTCACATTAAATGATCAGAAAGCCATTACCGACTGATAGAACGGTTGATAGTGCAGAAATTATTACACACTCTCCTCCCCATCGGCCAGCTCAGAGCTGCCACCAGGCCCTCCATGGCTTCCAGGCTGGGGCTGGGACTTGATGAGAAGAAATCTCTATGGAAGAAGGAAACTGATGGTTGAATCCCTCCGGTTCTTACAGCCCTTGAAGTGGATGATGGTGTTGGGATTCTCAGCCTATGTCAATTCCAATGTACTTTTAAAAAATATATTTGTGTGATAACAGTGCTTCTGAAAGATTTGGGGTAAACTGAAAAATCTAAGGTAAATTAAATCTCATTTTCATGGACTGGAGGAATTTGCTGCTTAAACTCTAACTCTCTCTCTCTCTCTCTCTCTCTCTCTCTGTCTGGAGCAGGATTTTGTTTCTGTGTAACTCTCCAACCCCTTCACTCTCCAGGCCCTTCGTCTGCATGTGCCTATGAGAATCACGTGCCAGGAGATAGGCCTCTAAAATATATGCTCTTACCAGTTGGGAATCTTCCAGTGCTGAATACCTTAAAACCTTGTTTCTGAGACACCATACTGACCCAAACAAACACCATGGTTATTGCAGACATTAAAAAAACAAAACAACAACAACAACAAAAACCCAACCTCTTAGAAATAGAACAATGCCTAAATATATTTCAAGAACCCAGATTCTGCCGAAACCGGTTTGGCTCAGTGGATGGAGCGTCGGCCTTCGGACTAAGGGGTCCCAGGTTCGATTCCGGTCAAGGGCATGTGCCTGGGTTGCGAGCACATCCCCAGTAGGAGATGTGCAGGAGGCAGCTGATCGATGTTTCTCTCTCATCGATGTTTCTAACTCTCTATCTCTCCCTTCCTCTCGTAAAAAATCAATAAAATATATTAAAAAAAAAAAAAAAAGAACCCAGATTCTGGAGTCTGACCATTTGGGAACTAAAGCTGGCTCACCATTTACTAGCTGTGTGTCCTTTGGTAAGTCCCCTAACTTCTCTGGATCTCAATTTCCTCATTTGTAAAAAGGGAGAAGAATTGTTCTTCCGGCATAGAGTTGCTGGAAGGATTAAATGAGTTAGTGGACTGCCCTCGCCAGGTGGCTCCGTTGGTTGTAGCATCACCCCATGCACCAAAAGGTTGCGGGTTCCAACTCCGGTCGGGGCATGTTTGGAGGCAGCTGGTTGACGTTTCTCTCTCTCTCTCCCTCACCCTCTTCCTCTCCCCACCCCCTCAAATCAATACAAATAAAATAAATGAGTTAATGTACATAACAAAGTGCTAGATCTAGCAAGAGGTCCAACCCTAGAGTATGTTCATATGACTAGACACACATGTGCCACGTGGTTAACAACAACCTCTAGGTGCTGGAAGAATATGCGTTTTTCTGGTTTTGTTTCTCCTTGTGCTTTTAAGATACTTTCTCTCATATTTTTGCATTGGGAACTAATTTGTAATTGAAAAATAAATGTCTTTGATAAGAGAAAAAAGTTCAGCCAAGCTCCCAGGATTGTTTGAAGACTAGGGGCATGGTGAGGGGGAAAGGGAGTAGACGAGAGGGCAAATGGGCAGAGGAATGAAGGAGACATGGGAACTCAGGGATGCACTCGTGGGAGCCCTGATGTGAGGATCTTGAGGTGCCTCCTGCTTTACAAGTGCTGGTCCAGCAGTGGGGGTTTTATCCCTGCTTTGTCCCTTGTCACATGGGCCAGATGGGTCTCATGCTTGACTTTCTGCTCTCTGATGCTTCTGAGGATGGGTGCTGACGGGCCAGGAAGTACAGCCTGGTTCCGTAAGCAAGGCCAGCTGAGGCTGTGGTGTTGACAGGAGTGAGGGCAAGCTCGTCCCTGTCCCCACGGAGCTCCCCAGACCTCTGGAGCAGGAGCAGGAGCTTATCCTGCCTTCATTTGCATGTCTGGGTAATTACAACTCATAAAAGTATCTAACACATTAGTTAAAACCCAGCCCCAGCATTTGACTCTACCCTCCTGCCGCAGCACTGGCCACACGCTGACTCTATGCTGCCTCATTTGTCCTCAATTTATAAGCAGCGGAACCTATAAATAGAAACCCTTTTGCTAAGTTCCCCAGGAGGCATCAGCAGGTTTTCCAGCCTGTATGTGTTTTCTTCTTTCTTTTTTTAAACACCAACATGGTAGGCTTGTTTTTCCTGCCCACTGCTCCTCCAGCCCTCACTTCTAGCTCAGTCTGTGGGCATTCCAGCTGGCTCAGCCGCCCGCCCACAGGGCCTGTCCAGGTTGGGTTCTGAGGGAGGCCCCACTCACCTGTAGATCCTGTACCTGGTGGTAAACCCCTGGCGGTACCGCTCCACAAAGTCAGTGTACTCCTGAGCGCGGTGGAAGGGGCCCCGGTCCGTGAGCAGCCAGTCCAGGGGTGGCTGGCCAGCTGAGGACGCATGCTGTTCGGGGACTACAGCAGCAGCCGTGGCCGAGACAGCCAACACCCAACCAGGGAGGCCCAGTGCCAGCAGAGTTGCCCATGGGGCCGCCGCTGGCCGGAGCCCTCTAAACCGAGTGCCGCTCTGCCACCTCATGCTTCTCCCAGGCAGTTGGTGTCTTCATTCTCTCGCCACACTCTCCCCCTCTGAGCCTCTCCTCCAGGGCCCCTGGAACCAGAAAAGTACACACGGAGATGTCAGGTGAACATCCTGGTCTCACCAATGGGCCTGTGTCATCAAATATCAGTTGGCAGGACACATTCTAGGAAGAGCCCACCCAGAAGTTGGGGCCAAATGTGAACCTCTCTATATATAAAAGCCTAAGTGACCAGACGACCGGCCAACCAGCCGACCGGCCAGAGTCAGAGAGATCTGAGACTCAGCATCTGTGCAGGATGCTCAAATCAGTCCCTGGTCATAGGATAGAGGGACAGAAGCATGAGTGCCTGGACCTCCAGAGTCACTCCTCCACTCCAGCTAGGAGATATTGGTCACTTACATGTGCGGGGTGATTCTGAGAAGTTGCCCCAGTTAACACACAGTAAGAGAGGTTTATCAGCATTATTATCATTATACTAGAGGCCCAGTGCACAGATTCATGCACCAGCAGGGTCCCTCGGCCAGGCCTGCGGGGATCGGTCTGAAACTGGCTCTTTGACATTCCCCAAGGGGTCCTGGATTGTGAGAGGGTGGTTCTTGGAATTAGGCTCCCTCCTCTCTGGTTCTGGGTACTTCACCCAAGAACTGCAGCTGCCAAATCTCTGCAGCTCAGCAGCTCCTGTGTTGAGCGTCTGCCCCCCTCCTGCTTTACAAATGCTGGTCCAGCAGTGGGGGTTTTATCCCTGCTTTGTCCCTTGTCACATGGGCCAGATGGGTCTCATGCTTGACTTTCTGCTCTCTGTGGCCGGTCGGCCAGTCGCTTAGGCTTTTATATAGAGAGAGGTTTACATTTCACTGGGACTCAGAGGAATTGAGCGAGGAAGATGCAGAGGTAGGATATGAACCTAGTTCTGGATCCATGTCCAACCCTTGTCAAAGCATGCTGTGCTGTCTAAAGAGCTAGAGCAGGCAGCAAGGCAGACCCAGGCGTAAGGGACTGGGTGAGAAAAGAATAATGAGGCCATGCCTGCTCCTACTGGATCTTAAAAGATATTATAAAATTCCAATAATTAAAATAGGTGATACTGGCCCACAAATTGAATGGGCAGATCAATGATATAGAACAAATGGCTCAAAAATAGAGCTCATTATACATGAGAACTTAATATATATTTAAAAAAGCATTACAGACTAATTGGGTAAGGGATGGAATATTTTATCCATCATATTGGAAAATTAGTTCTAGATGGATTAAAAAGTTAAATATAAACAGTAAAATCATAGAAGGGAGAAAATTCCCCAAATGTTTTATAATAAGCATTCATTCCTTTTAGATCATGGGGGAAAGTGATATAAATGAAAAGGAGGAATCAGCCTTACACATGGGTTGTAGCATATTTAATAGGATATAATCTGATGAGGACACCCAGAATATTTCTCATTTAATCGTTCGCACATTCATTTATTGAGAAGCATCAATTGAGGGCGCTGTGCTAAACATTAACAATACAGAAGCAGGTGCTCATGCCATTATCTGAAACTCTACCATTAGTAATTAATTCCTCTTATAAAACATTGTTTCTAAAGGCATGTTGCTGGAGGGGAGAGAAGGATGCTCATTTTGGAGGCTGGGCTACTTGACACAGCAGTCAGGTGGATGTGCATGAATGGGTGGGAAGTCACAATTCTAAAATGGCCACAAGTTTCCCATGTCCATCAGTGCATGCCCTTCCCCTTGAGTGTGGACAGGACCTGTGAATAAGATGAGTCACCACTCCCATAATCAGGTCACTAATCAGTTGACCATCAAATGGAAAGTATCCTGGGTGGGCCTGACCTAATCAGGCAAACCTTTAACCATAGGTGACGTTTCAGAGACAAGCTCCTGCTGGCCTGGAAGAAAGCAAACAGCCATGCTGTGAATGGCCTGTGAGGGCCATGCGGCAAGGGATTTTAGGTGACTTCTAGGAGTTGAGAGCAATTCCCAGTCAATAGCTAGTAAGAAAATTAGAAAGTTGGTCATATGGCCACAAGAAAATGAGCTCTGTCAACAGCCACATGAACCCTGATCCCCAGATGAGAACTGTTTCCTTTATTTCAGTCTGGTGAGCATAGTAAATTTGTTTTTATTGTTTTATGCCTTTAAGTTTGTGGTGATTTGTTAGACAGGAATAGAAAAACAATACAGACTTAGCAAAAGACAATGCTACCCCTCCCCCATTCTACACAAGGCCTGGCCTGGTGAGAGTTCTTTATGTTCCCTGAAGACTTGCCCCCTAGTGGTCGGTGTGCATCATAGCTACTGGCCGGTCGGCCGGTCGCTTAGGCTTTTATATAGAGAGAGGTTTACATTTCACTGGGACTCTGAGGATTTAAGCTAGGAAGATGCAGAGGTAGGATATGAACCTAGGTCTAGCTCCATGTCCAACCCTTGTCAAAGCATGCTGTGCTGCCTAAGGAGCTAGAGCAGGCAGCAAGGCAGACCCAGGCGTAAGGGACTGGGTGAGAGAAGAATAATGAGGCCATGCCTGCTCCTACTGGATCTTAAAAGATATTATAAAATTCCAATAATTAAAATAGGTGATACTGGCCCACAAATTGAATGGGCAGATCAATGATATAGAACAAATGGCTCAAAAATAGAGCTCATTATACATGAGAACTTAATATATATTTAAAAAAGCATTACAGACTAATTGGGTAAGGGATGGAATATTTTATCCATCATATTGGAAAATTAGTTCTAGAAAGTTAAATATAAACAGTAAAATCATAGAAGGGAGAAAATTCCCCAAATGTTTTATAATAAGCATTCATTCCTTTTTGATCATGGGGGAAAGTGATATAAATGAAAAGGAGGAATCAGCCTTACACATGGGTTGTAGCATATTTAATAGGATATAATCTGATGAGGACACCCAGAATATTTCTCATTTAATCGTTCGCACATTCATTTATTGAGAAGCATCAATTGAGGGCGCTGTGCTAAACATTAACAATACAGAAGCAGGTGCTCATGCCATTATCTGAAACTCTACCATTAGTAATTAATTCCTCTTATAAAACATTGTTTCTAAAGGCATGTTGCTGGAGGGGAGAGAAGGATGCTCATTTTGGAGGCTGGGCTACTTGACACAGCAGTCAGGTGGATGTGCATGAATGGGTGGGAAGTCACAATTCTAAAATGGCCACAAGTTTCCCATGTCCATCAGTGCATGCCCTTCCCCTTGAGTGTGGACAGGACCTGTGAATAAGATGAGTCACCACTCCCATAATCAGGTCACTAATCAGTTGACCATCAAATGGAAAGTATCCTGGGTGGGCCTGACCTAATCAGGCAAACCTTTAACCATAGGTGACGTTTCAGAGACAAGCTCCTGCTGGCCTGGAAGAAAGCAAACAGCCATGCTGTGAATGGCCTGTGAGGGCCATGCGGCAAGGGATTTTAGGTGACTTCTAGGAGTTGAGAGCAATTCCCAGTCAATAGCTAGTAAGAAAATTAGAAAGTTGGTCATATGGCCACAAGAAAATCAGCTCTGTCAACAGCCACATGAACTCTGATCCCCAGATGAGAACTGTTTCCTTTATTTCAGTCTGGTGAGCACAGTAAATTTGTTTTTATTGTTTTATGCCTTTAAGTTTGTGGTGATTTGTTAGACAGGAATAGAAAAACAATACAGACTTAGCAAAAGACAATGCTACCCCTCCCCCATTCTGCACAAGGCCTGGCCTGGTGAGAGTTCTTTATGTTCCCTGAAGACTAGCTATTCTTCTCAGCATGAGAAAAAGTGAGTGTGGGCAGTTTCTGGAGCAGAGTGACGTCCCTAAATCTGATCACATCCACGCCTTCCCTGTCTGGATTATGGATCCCTCTAGATCAGCGGCCACATCTTCGTTTTGTAATTCCAACACTCAAGGGCCCTAAAAAAAAATTGTGAAGAATCAATTGCATGCAATGAGCCAGTGACAGTGTGTGGCCTCGGTCCAGCCACTGAACCTCTTGGTGCCCTGTGCTATCATCTGGGGATTGGTAGCTGCCACCTCCCCTGCGAGTCAAGGGTTTTGTAAGGACAGGTGACAGCGTGTGGGAAAAAGAGAGCCCTATTGAGTCCACACGTGTTTCTTGTCATTCTTTGTTTATAATTATGCTTTCTCGGAGCTCACATTGTGCTAAACCTGACTGGGTGTAGCAGTATCGGCTTTAGAATCAAATGCTTGTGATTGCGGGGCGAGTCTGCTGAGCGCAGCAACAACGCCCAAATCCAGCGCCAACCGCACATCTGAAAAGCCAGGCCTTGGATCACGTGGTTTCTGCTCCATAGGTTTCCTCAGGGTCTCAAGACATTTTCACTAAAAAAAATATTTTTAAGAAAGAGAGGTTTTAAACTAGTTCCAAAACTCTTTTTTAAAAAAAGTCCTATAATTTGTTGATTTGCCTTAATTTTAAAAAGACAAAATAATTGCTGCATTGACAGTTATGTAAAAATTAGGCTCCTCCAGGGAATAGCTTTGGCCATTTCCTGTTCATACTCCACAAATAATATGACTAGAAATGTTTTTATTAGTGATCTGTGAAGAAATTTTTAACTGTCTACATTCTCATGACTTCTGGTGACATCGTTAATATTCAGCAGGTTAAATAATTAGCACCTCCCCCATGTCCTTTGTCCTAATGCTGACTGTGTGAGTAACCCCCCTCATTATAGGCCCGTAGATTAAAATGATGGTGAGGCTAGCTCTTCGATTAAAAAAAAAAGTAGAAATTTACTTGTGAAAGCCCAATAATTTCATTTACTTTGACCATATTTAAGACAGAGTTTTACACGGACCCAAACGATAAATTCGCTTTGGACTAAAGGTGCAAGTGAAGTAAATCCTGACTTTTCCTTTGTGAGTACATTAGCTCAGATCTGTCCACGCATTAAACCCATATAGTTTTGTCAGTAGAGAAAATCAGGTGCAAATGAAGTCACATGAGAAGGATCCCATGCAGTCTTCCAAACGGGAGAGCTTATGAGACTCCTGTCTCCACCACTTGGAGGTGATCCCTGGCTGTGGCCTTCTGGGGACTCTTGTGTCCTCCTGTTCATCTCAAACTCCATTTATGCTAGGTGTGTCAAGACAGCCAGTTAGAATGTGGGCATCCACAGCTTGTGTACTAAATCCCAACAAGTGAGAGAAACTTCCCCCTTGGAAAATTACTGCAGAGCAGGGGTTACATGTTAGAGGAGTTAAGGATATGGCTAACCTATTGTTAGAGGCCAGAAGAAAAGGAGAAACAGGTGTGAAATCAGTATTGTAACTAACAGAATAGTTAATCTTGCTAATAATTACCATTGATAAACACCAGAATAAATCATTTAATATTTGTGTGGAACTTCCTGTTTATGAAGCACAGATAATAAAATCACACTCAGTCTTCCCCTCCTAGATTGTCCGCTCCCCCTTTGACAGATGGGAATACTGAGGCTAGGATTACCAGGTCATGTATTTCAGTGGCAGATCCAGGTCTACACACTCCAGATCCTATCCTATTTGCTCCTCACTGCACCACTGACATGATTTATAGCTATAAAACCTTGTGGGCTTTGCCACTTACAAGTTGGTGCCCGTGGGAGTAAGTCCCTTCCCTCTGGGAGTCTCCCTTTGGTCATCAGCAAACTGATTTAAGAGGTAAGGTGAGCCCTCTGGTCTTGCCCAGTGCTCAAATTCCATTATTCCAGGCAAATGCAAGGTCACAAATAGAAGGGGAGAGGCATTAAGATTTTATTTTTAGGAGGAAGCTCTGTGTTTCAGAAAGGGAGTGAAGCATAAGAGAAGGGAGGGATAAAGCAGAAATCCCTGCCTGATGGAGCAGTGACATTTAATAAAGTGATTAGGCAGTGACATTAAATAAGTTCTCAAGCCATTTGAGTGGTTAATTGGCCAACTCTATTGAGGAGGTGTTTTCCTGAATACATCTGAGGATATCAGTGGGAAAAACTCGCAGAAAGTGTTTTGTTCTGATCAGCTGCCACATCTTGATGCAAAACCTCCTGTTTTGAGCAGAAAAAGAGGGTGGACAGGAGAAATGGCAGAACGTTCTGGGGTGGGGACTCCTACAGGGCAGGGGTGGACATGGGTGCTATTAGATCAATGACTTTTATTCTCCCCTCCTGTTGGGGTGATTTGCCAGCCTCAACAGAGACAAAGTATGGTGCTTTTACTCCAATAATAGGTCAGAGAGCTGCAGCAGGGCCACGATTCCCCTACTGAACCCAGGCAGAGGTTACACCCAGACGGCCACTGTCCTCTCCAGGCTCTGTGATAATGACCTTCAGTATCACCTCCAGATCTGGCGTGGAACTGGCAAGCGATATTTCATGCATTTCCCCACCGCTGGTCAGGACATGACTTAAAATAGGTAAGACACATGGATATCTTCCCCGTATAGAATCAGGTTACCCACATTAATGATTATTCAAGCAAAGATAAGAGCTAATCATAATTGCTATTTACTAAATGTTCTTTCATTCATCAGAGACCATTAAGAGGAGAGGCTAGGAAAGGAGAGGGACTTGCTGGCGCCACTCCCCAAGGAATGAAACTTTAATATTCGCAGTCTAAGGTCTACATTTGGTTCTCCTCTTCCTCGCTCACCTGTGTCCATCAGTCAGTCAGTTACTAAGCAGTTTGTGTGCATGAGGACTGTACTAGGGGATGCAGTAAATCTGATGATCAAGGTGGTCCCAGCACTTGCCCTCATGAAACAGGATTTGAGGATGGTGTGATGAGCTTAAGAGTGATGATATATGCTCTCTCTCTCTCTCTCTCTCTCTCTCTCTCTCTCTCTTTCTCTCTCTCTCTCACACACACACACACACATACACACACACGGAGCGTTAGTGACATTAGACCTTGTAGGCACCATCCCCTCAGAGCCCCACATTTACAGGTTTCTGCTGTGTGATAACTAGCCCTTCACATGTGAATAACAGATTCATGTGTCAGTCGCAGGGGTTCATACTTGCCAGCAGGGTGTCCTGGGCACTGTTTTAGAGAGACAAACTACCCCTCAGGCTTGCCCAGAGGCTTGCGTGGTAAGTTCCAGGTCATGGGGTGCAGACCAGGGAGGCCCCTCTGCCCCAGAGCTTCCCCTGAAGCCATAGGGGTCTCCCATATAGAGAATGAAGGCACTGCCCATCAAATAGAACCTCTAAATGAAAAACTGCACATTTCAGAGTCTTTGGAACCTCACCTCCATGCAGATGAACCATTCTCAAACCATGACACATTTCCATGGTACTCCTTCTTTAGAAACCCCAGCAGCTCTTGGGGCCCTGATAACAAACCTGCCTTCCTCTGCCCGGCACTGAGATCCCTCCATCCTCATCAACTGCTCCACAGTGGAGGGGTCATGAGCATGGGCCACCAAGCCAGAATGTCTGGCTTCCACTTGGCTCCACCTCTATTGCCTCAGCTTCCTCATCGTCTTCAGAGCTACCATCATCATCATCGCCAATTATGTTTAGGTATCAGTTACTCCGTGCAGACATGGTCTAAGCCCTTTCCATTCATTGACTCATTTAATTCTCATGAAACCTCCATGAAGTTGATATTGTGAAATTCCCATTTCACAGAGAAAACTCAAGAACAGATAAGTCAATAATGTTCTCCCAAGGAAGCCATAGTACACCCTAACTGACCTCTAAACCTAAGATCCACAGGCTGTACTCTGACAAGGGAGCCGTAGTCACAGGAAGTTACCTAGACCCCTCCAGGTGACTTGTGTTTAAAAAGTGCTATGGATTGACAGGAAGTTCAGAATCTTAAAATACAAAAATAGGAGTCACCTAAAATCATTTTCCTGGCTTGGAGAAGGCCATCTAAGTGTCTGATTTGGGGAAGCTCTGTGGATCCTGTTTAGATGGCCCATCAGCATGCCCTTGTGAAAAGGCAGTTACCTTTCACAGTACTAAGAGCCACAAGATCAAGAATGTTCCCCCAACCTGGGCCCTGGTGGTTAACCCACAATTGCTGGTTCTCTGCGTGCCCCTGAGTTACAGTGCTTTTTCCTCAGACCCCAAACTGAACAGAGCCTTTGCCCAAGTTCCCCATCCTCCTCCTTAGGGCCCAGTCTCAGAGGATCCATCTAAGGTGTAAACTCACACCCTTGCTGGCCCCTGCACCTGCTCGCAGCTCCACACTTTCTGTTGTAGGGAGATGGACCACTTAGATTTGCCTGCCCCTTTACCTGGTACTTAATTGCACTACCACCTCTTTCTTCGTGTATTCTGGCCAACAAGTCTGTCCTCCCTGAACCAAGATTACCTGAATTATGCCAATTTGCCCCTGCCTCTGGGTATGCCCAGCCACTCTCAAGCTGGCTTAGCGAGTCACTCCACACCTCTGGCAGACAGCTGGTTCCATCCTCCAGAGAGAAACCCTTCTCTGTCCCTGCCTCCTTCCCACCAGCCTGGCTTTCGCTTGTTAAGCCCAGCTCACTCCCCAGCAGAGTGAGCCTCTGTATACACACAGGATGGTTAGTGTTTCTCTCAGGCCCGAGAAGCCAAACTAAACCTAACCCAATCACATAGAAATCGTTCATGGCTCTGCAGGCTGCAGAAGGGAGGTGAGGCTGACAAGCCAACTCTCCCTCTGACCCGCAGCCTACAGTTCTATTCCTACTCTTGGCCTTTTGCCAGGCCTGTCACCAAACCTGAACTTTTAGCCCTAGCTCTGCCCCATTTGGGCCTTGGCATGGAGCAGAATGTAAAACGATAATGCCCTGAGCTGTGCCAAACAGCACGCAGCTCCTGAGATGTTACAGATGCAGCTGTGACCAGCAAACACATTGTTTCCGGGATTGTGTTTGTAAATATATGAGTTGCCTGACAGCTTGTGGAATTAAATATAGATGCTACATCACAAACCCTAGCTAAAATAAACTATATGCTGCTCGATGAATGTCAATAAGTACACTGAGAAAGAATCATTACCCCTTTCTGTAGTGCAGTCCAAAATACCCATCCCTAAGTGGTTCTCTTTACTTTTTTTTTTTAAAGTTGTTGGGGTTTTTTGTTTTTGTGTTTTATGAAAGTGACTCCTCCCACCCCACAAGCTTTTGTCTGGCACTGCTGGACAGCTGGGGGGAGGGTGGTGTGAGGATACAAGGTGGGTGCAATCAGTAAGGTTGCTGCATTG